TATATATAGTAACTCACTACAACTGAGAATTTGAAAAAAAAAAAAAAGCTTTAAATTTGATTAGATAATCATCTAGGGGCTTTTATTTTTAAAATTCAGCTTTGTCTGGCCCCTGGTATACTCCTGTTACCATCTGGGGCTTTTCTTTTGAAAATCCAGTCACATTAGATATATGGACAGGCTGGAAAACAGGTTAGTAAACCGTAGAAAGCAGTATGGAGGCATGTGAAAACTTTCCGTTGGTTACTTGTAATTATATATCTCTTACATATTCAGTCTCCCTTTCAAAGTAAGTACAGACTAAATTGGAACAATGTTTAAGTGCTGCTTGGGGGGAGATGGATGGTATGTTGGGGGGTGCGTCACTGCATCTCACCGGTTAAGGGGCTAAAATTTGTGCATTCAATTGGGTGTTGTGTTTCCATCAATGCCAATCACAGCTGGAGCCAGTCGTGAATGCCAACTGTAATCTTTCCCATCACATTAAAAAGCCAGATGATAATGGGTGTTAGTGGGTTTTTTTTGTTTGTCTGTCTGTCTGTCTGTTTGTTTTTGTGTGTGTGTGTATGTGTGTGTGTGTGTGTGTGTGTGTGCGTGTGTGCAGTGGAAAAGCGGCTTAGCCAAGAAACTCTTCCCCTGGTCCAGACTTCTCCAGAGGAGGAAGGAAAAAGGGAAGCTGAATACATATACCAATATCTCTCCTAAATTTAAGGACAGTAAAGGAAAGGGAGTGGAGTGGAGTGGAGTGGAGTGGAGTGGAGTGGCTTTGAGTGATTTGGTTCTATGTGCCTATCTATTTATTGTGGTGGGGGTGTGTTAATCAGGAGGAGTGCAAAGACACAAAGTAGCTAGGCGGGAGCTACAGGACATCAAACAACAGCTTTCTATAAGTGTGACACAAGAACAGTAAGACTAAAACTACAACAGGTATAATATTTTGCAGTGCAAACCTCCATGTCATCAAAAATTCCCTGCTGTGAAAGCAGGTCACATTGGACAAATATGAAAGAAAATGAAGATAAAATTCACTGTTAAAAATTGAAAAAAATGAAAAAGGTCTGTTTGTGCTTAAGAAAGGTTTTTATGGGGTTTAATTTATTCTAGGTGTTGTCATCTAAGAAACTGATTGGGGCTTTAAAGGAGAAAGTGGCTATGCATATGTGTCTGTGTGTGCTTGGCTGGGGATGGACTCATGCAGGACTTCTAGTACCCAATGAATATTCACATGTACTGCATGTACGTTTGCATGATAAGTTAACATTAGGGTCCAAAACTCTGGGTGTGAACTTGTGTAATTCTGTGTGTGTTTGCTGTTGGAATGTTACTAAGGGAATCTAGAGGGGTAGGGGTATACTGGTTGTTGGAAGAAAAAGTCTCATTGCTCATGGTTACCTCGTCACTGGTGAAGTCAGCCAGCTTGACGTAAGCAGCAGAGGAAGAAACAACACAAAAATATAGTCGGATGGACAACAAAAAAAGAAAAAGCACATATTTGTGTCTGTTTGACTGCCCATTACCACACAAGCATACCCATGCATATACTGTGTATTGTAATGCTAAGGAGCAGTAGTTGCACATTAGTGTAGAATGGAAATTGATAAGCTGTGAACTGCATGACAATATCACAGCTATACTGATATTCCTTTACCACCAAATTAGCTGTGGTTCTTGAACTGGTTCCGTTCAGGTTTCTGTGGAACTTTAGTGCTATTTAGTGAACCAGCCTGCATTTTCAACAGTTTTGAGGGGAACCAATGTAATCAAGGATGTGTAATCAACAGAAGGTGCTGCACAGTGCACAATAAACAGCAGTAGCAAAATTGTGGATTATATTGCTTATTATCACCCAACAGTGTGTGCCCAAGCTTAACCTTTTTGAGTGCTGGAATTTGTTATTTACACGACAACGCCTGAACGCAACACAGGCTCCACTCCAATTGAGTGAGGCGTACAGTGCCGTGCTGCGCTGCTGTGCAAGTGGCATGTTTGACTGTGTGTAACAGCAGCCTTGTGATGGTCATTTACAAACTGTCCATAATAATAACTATGTCAGGTAACAAACTGCATCAGGCTTGGGTCGGACTTAGAAATCATTAAGTCTGTCGGGTTCGGTCGGGGCTCAGTTATAACTGTCTCGGTTCAGTCAGAAAAATGCAGCCCAAGCTGTGCTCTAGTGTTCTCACCTGTATGGGCGCACCTGTGTGAGAGTGTGTGTGTGCATCCGGGTGGAACTCCACCGTGCGCGATACAGAGAGCAGAGGAGAATTGTGAACGCGCAACCATGTCGCAAACAGTGCCCGAAAAACAAACACGGACCAACTATTAGTGAGATCACTGCACTTTTTCTTCTGACAGTTTCTCTCGACTTCTCCATTGTTGCCTTCTCCATCCTCTCTTTCAAACTATTTGAATATGACACGCTCACTGACTTCATATTAAGAAAAACCTGGTATTTTTTGGTTCCAGCTGAGAACCAACTTTTTGGGTTTTGAACCAATTTATTTTTGGTCGAAATGCTCCGAAAGGTTCAAAATTAGGTGTGGACACCAGAGTGGAAGCATTTCCATATTGGTGGAAAATTAGAACTGGGCCTGGGTGAACTTAAAAAAAAAAAAAATCTGACTAACTCTAGATTCTCTCAATTTCAGAAATGTAACTTTAATTGGAAACCAAAAACAGGTCAATTTCCTCTGGCTCAGAATTTGCTGTACAAATCCTATAAGGCTACTGGATGGAGCATCCATTGTAGTGCTACAAAGTTAAAGAGGCTGCAGCTTTCCTGTGAGTGGGCTTGGCTTCAGCGCCTTCTGCAGACATGCCCACAGCGTCTCAGAGCAGAGAATATTGCCTATTCGTTGAAAATTTTGAAAGTAATTTCACAAATTTGGCGACTTTTTTAATCATTCAGATGTGGCTGGGTGCTTGATGACACATGTTGCTGTGGTGTGACAAACTCATTACACATATTTATTTTTGCTTTACCCGGACTTGAAGTTCATTCTCGACCTTGGAAACTAATTTGAAAGTGGGATCTACTGAAGAAGATCAGATGCAGCTGAGAGCTCAGGAAAAAGATAGTGGCCTTAGAAATATAAAGTACAATTACCTGCATATCCCTTTATTTAGATTTTTAATGCCAAGCTAATAAAAACATATCCCGATACACAGTGTGTCCTACAGTATCAGCATTTATAGCATATATAGCACATTTATGGAAAACCAAAAGTAAAAGTAAAAGCAATAATGGGGTAAAGAGACTGGTGAGTCAGCCACAAGTCTGTGAAAAAGCTGCTGAAAGCACCAACTTGACTGAGGAAGTTGTGTATAACTGTAGCTTCAACTTAAACATGTGCAAAGTTGCACTCAAACAATTTGGCTATGTGATGTTCCATAAACGTAAAATTAAGAGCGACCCATAGCATTTAGAAATGATAGCCAGAATGTTTCAGAGAAAGATACCTGAATTGCAGTATTTACCATGTGAACAGCATGTTACAGTATTACTGTCAACCATAATGTCTCTTCAGATGTTTTCACTGGGTGCCACAAAGTCAATATTATTACATAATAAATCAAATTATTTTGTATCAGAAATGTCTCACAACCTACATTTGAAAAAATATGAACTCAGAGCACCCTAAATGTGTTGAGTAGAGTCATTGGCTTGAGGAGGATCCCACTGTCTTCATTAAAAAATTGAAGACAGTGTGAGATATGCAGCATGCAGCGATTTTCAACAAGCATCTCTATCTTGCCTTGAGACATCATAATGTTCACTACAGACTACAGACAAAGAGACTTAAAGGTCCAGTGTGTAGGATTAAGGGATATAGTGGGAGATATGGAATATAATAATGGAAAATGACGTAGGTGCAGATGCCTCCAGTCGCCTCACTAAATTTATGTTCTTATGTCTATTTTGCAAGTGTTGCTGATGCTTTTTGTGGTTGTCATTGGACAGTGTGGCTGCAAGTCACTCATCAGGATGAGGAAATCAACTCAGCAGTCTGTAAACTCTCCTTCTGCTGACTTCTAGTTAGCTAGGTGCTATCTAGCCAGGGCAAAGTTTTCAAATGTAAACATAAGTTAACATCGAGGAAATATGGAGAAGAAACAGACATGAGCTCACTGAAACTTGGTTAAATCCTGGACAGCATCATTCAACCAGGAGGCTCTTTTCTTAGTGTCGATTTGACAGAGCAGAGGACTCTGGGAGAGACGGAGAGAAGGCGTGTGCTTTATGGTGAATAAAGACCGGTGTGTCTGTGTGAATGTAAGGTGCTGCCCTCTTCCTGCTGTGGATCACTGCTACACAACGTTCAGAGGTGGCTGCAGAGCGGAGTCGCTGCACATGTTTGGGAGGAGTGACCATATGGCTGTCAAGGTTGGGATGTGTGGACAGTTAAATCATTCCACAGCCAGAAACCATGAATTACCAAAACCATCCGGAAACATGGACAATTATAGCTGCTGCGCATCAATGGTCGGGGCCAGGCAATTTTAGGCAAAATTAGGCAATTCTGAGCAAAAAGCAGAGTGTAGGAAGATGAAAAAAAGGTGGCATTCTAAGCATAAGAGACTATGCTCTATCTCACTGAGCTAATTAGCAAGAGACAACTCTGCGGTATATATGTTTAAAACTTCTTCTAGCTCATTATAGGAATTCTACAGCTGCAATGTTTAGTCAATAAATCAATAGGTCAAACACATTATTAATCCACAACTATTTCATGATGGATTGATGGTTTCAGGCATCAGTGTTGGAGTTACCTTCGCAGATTCGAGGATATCCTCCTCAAATCTTGCTTTATCATGGTTTTGGACCTTTAGTCAGACAAAGTGAGATGTTTGTGGATGCCAGATTGGCACATTGGATATTTTAGACAACTGGAGACCTTCCCTTATAGTGAATATATGTTTTCAAGACAGGGGTACATCTTTGATCCAAGGTTAAGACTTTTAATCTGCCATTGCACTACCTTATACAAAAAGAACAGTTTTTCCTAACAAAGAGGTGCTCATCCCATAACTGAGAAAAAGCCAGTTTTAGAGCATTGAACTCCTAAATGGAACTCATTGATAAAACTGTTTTTAGGACAGAAGCTACTTTTCAGAATGGATTGGTGATACTTGCCAAATTACTCTTTCTAAATCCCATACTGATGTTTCTTTTTTATAAATATGTTTGTTATTCTGTTCCCTGTAGCTTCAATAACATTGTTAAACTCTTTTTACTTTTGGTCCCTTAAAAAGGTGGAAGGCACATATAAAATGTGTTGTAATTCCTACACCGTTCACCTGATTTGGATGTAAATACCCTCAAATTAAAGTTCAGAGTCTGCACTTAAAGCACATCTTGATTGTTTCATTTTAAATCCACTGTGGTGTTGTACAGAGCTGGAATGCTGAAAATTGTGTCAATGTCCAAATACTAATGGACCTGACTGTAATTATGGCATGCCCTTCAAATTGTGGCTGAGTGGCTGAAGTGATCAGACTCATAATATACAAAGGAAAGAAAAAAACTCAAGAACAAGAAAGTGTAGTATAATGTACTGATTTACTGTAGTGTTTATACTGTACCTTTAAGCTGACCTTTAAAGGTAAGTGTTGAAGCAATGTACTCTGTGCACTGACAAGACACGCACTGGTTTATTATTTCATGTATTCCTATGACACACACATACACTCATTGAACACTTAAGCATTTTGGTGGAGAAGTACCTAGGATTCACTGTGCATCGTTTTTTAAAAATAGCATGAGGATGGGCTCAGAAACATTGGTGGAAAGTTAGGGGAATTCCAGCTTGTCCTGATATGACTCTAGAGGAGGTGGGCCTAGACTGCCCAGGAAAGCATTATGAGCCCAAGTGGGTAGGATGAAAGGAAAAAGTGGAGACTCAGCAGAAATGTGACACCGTTATGGTCAGCGCCAAGTGGGTAGGGTTAAAGAAAAAGACGACTTCACAATAAAAACGAGTGCACAGACAAAGAAATTCCAGTCCTGCTCCGGAGCTTGACTCATTGAGTTGTGATGTGTTTGTTGCCTGCGAACACATTAAACTCAGTTGCATCTGACTCTACGTGTCTCCAGTGATTTTTTGACCTCTGAGTATTTGAGTTTTTGATATCTAATAGAAAACAAAGAAAGTTTGTTCGAGAAGAAGGGAACGAAGTCGCAAGCTTTCTGGCCCAGCTCCAGACCTTGAATTTATGTCTCTACAACAGGAAGAATAACATTAACTGCTAGCAATTATGAACAAACTGACCTGATCTAACTTAAAGCTAAACATTATCCATGGTGACAAAGATGAAAACATTTTTTAAAATGTAAAAGTAGCTATTGGATAGACTCTGCATATTGACTGATAGCTAAGCCAAATAAACAGGGAAAAGAGACAAGGGATAACAGGGAAAAGTGTTGATAAAGAGTATTTGTCTCTCCGCGAAACTGCCTGGATCATAATTATTTTAACCTTAGTAGTCTCTAATCCACATAGCATGATGCCTGAACATAGGACTTTCACATTAGAATGTCCGTTCTGCCTTAGCTGAGGCTTGAACTCACAACTACTGAGACTATCTCACTGAGCTAATTGGCAAGTGACAGTTCATGTGTGGCTTCACAAATTGATTAAGCCAAGCATCAGGGTGCCAGACAGTTGCCATCCATGCCATGGAAAAGCAAATTTCAAAGTGAAAGTTCCAAAGCTGTAGCACATATGGTTGTTTTGTTATGAATTTTCAAAGTTTTGAAATTTCGAGACTTGCTGTAGCGCCACTATCAGGACTATTGTCTTGTGTTTCCAGTTGAGGACATCTGGCATGGGACTGGACCTTTATGAAAAGTTTGGGTAGATTTCTCATTAGGGCTGTCAAAATTGCTCAAAAATGACGTTCGAATATTCGTTCTAAAAATAACTCATAGGTTCGAACCATTCAATTTTTTTTTTTTTCCGCATTATGTCCACAAGAGGGCAAACTAATACAAGGAAATATACTTCTGTATGTATTAATACAAGGAAACATAACTACTTGTAGGTATTTTTATTTCAACATAAAAGTAAAATACCTACTTGTAGGTATTTTTATTTCAACATAAAAGTATTTGAAAACATTTACATACCTACACATTAAAACACATAAAACAATTATCTATAACATCACGTTATAAATGACCGCGGACCTCTCGCTCGCTCCCCCTCTTTGACCCGTCAGGCCACACCGCCAGCGGAAGCGCTGCGAATAGCCTCAAAGCGCCGAGAAGGGAAGCCAGTTTCCTTTCGGCGCCCATGTTAACCGATTGTGTCATCCACACCGGCTGCGCCGCGCCGCGCCGCGCCGCGCCGCGCAGCTCCGTGGCCACTCCCACCTCCCACTCGCAAAGAGGACAGCTGCGGTGGTGTTTTTTTTCCCCCCACAATCGAATATCAATTTTCACATTCGAAGGTCCTTTTTTTTTCAAATTCGAATTTAAATTCGAATTTAGAATATTCGTTGACAGCCCTATTTCTCATATGGAAATGTTGCACGAGCTGAGGCTTGAACTCACAATCTTCAACACCAAGAACCATCCTCTATCTCACTGAGCTAATTGGCAAACGGAAATGTCACATGTGGCTTCACAAACTGACTAAGCCAGTCACCTGTGTGCAAGACAGCAACTGTTAGTGCGTAAAGGCAGATTTCAAACAGCTGTCAAAAATTCAGTTATTAAGACAAAAATCCGAAAATACACAAATTGCATCTAGACAGCATGGAGATGTTGGTAATTTGTTTTTAACAATGATTTATTGGCTCCATAAGTGAAAAACTGATGTTTAAAAAGCCATTTTTGCATTGACTCCAATTGTTCGCATGAGAGCGAAATTCAAAATGCTGTAAAAAATTCAGTTTTTGAGATAAAATTCTCATATTTTCCAAACATCATCTACCATGACTCCAAAGTTTTGTCTTTTTTTTTAATGAACATTGAAAATGTATTTAGCAAGAATTTGCAAGTACATGTTTACAATACCGTTTACAGTCAAACATTTTGATGCACTGTAGGCTCAATTTTCAATAAATCAAAAATCTGTGTGGATCGTTTGTGTAGGACAGTCTGAAGATGCTCTGGTGTCAATTGAGCAAAAATTGTGGGAGGAGATAGGTTTAATAAGTTTTACAGTTTTTTGAAAAAAAACAAAAAACAGAATGATGGACTTCATAATTTGCAACAGGTTTAAATGTACAAATGTTTCTTCAGTATTGGGGCTATATTTTGGTGAAAGTTGTAAATCTGTAGCACATATGGTTGATTTGTTGTGAATTTTCAAAATTTTGAACTTTAGAGGCTTGCTGTAGCGCCACCATCAGGACTATTGGCCTGTTTTTGCAGTTGAGGCAATCTGGCATGGGACTGGACCTTTGTGCAAAGTTTTGTGATTTTTCGTGCATGGGAAGTAGGATTTCCTCGGAAGAAGATGAAGATGAAGATGCAGGATAACAATAGGGTCCTGGCAGCCCGGCCCCTAATTATAAAGCAGCAGCCAACAATGTAAGAACACGCAAAAAAGGACTAAATTACAGTGAACAATTTAAAGGAGCTGATGGAATCACATTTCACTTAAGGTGTACCTTGTATAATTCCACGTGACAAATAAATGTTTGATTTATTGACTGACTAAGCAATAAGTATTTGTTCATTAGTTTACAATTACCTGAAAATATGAATCGCTGTGTTCTCATTAACCTAGAATGAGCCATTTCTATCTATATAGTGAGCAAGTCCTCACTCACAGTGATTGCCATGTTGCACTCCCTTGTTTCTACAGTGGCCCAGAACAGACAATCCAAACACTGGCTCCAGATAGGGACATTTATTTTCACATCAGCCACCATAGTTAGCAGCCGCTTTGCGACAAGCAGTGTCGGAAAAACACATTTTTTTACTAACATCAAAGCTCTAACAGTCTTCCGGTTTAAATCATCTCATCTGTTTGTTTTGGAGAGGACGGGATCTCTATGGATAAGTCAGCTCCTAAACAATGAACACTGAACGAATTCTAATTCTCAGGAGAAATTTCAGCTGGTTGCAATCTGCAATCCTCACCATGCAATGCCACAAAATCCCCCTTAATCTTACACTCTCAGCCTTTAAGCCTCTGTAATGCAATAATCTACAAGAATGTCAGATGAAGCAGAGACTGCAATGCTGATTCCTTACGTTTTCCCACTAAACTGTCGGAACCCTGCTAGTTTCTGTCGGCCTAAACAATTGTTTTGAGGCTGTCGTTATCAAGTGTCTCAGACTAGGAAATCAGTCCTAACTGGCCAAAAATCCTCAGGTTGACACAACTTTGGTCTTACTTTTAGGTCAGGGAGTAACAGCAGTTATCACACTTCCCTGATTCTGGAATGATCCCTATATCTGCTGATATTCAGGGGAACTCTGGAGCTTTCTTAACCTGATGCAGGAGATGGCACTCAGGCAGAAACAATATGTTGAAGGGGAGTTATTTTGTGAACCCTTGATGACAGGATGCTTATTACAAATATCCTTTGGACAGTTGTTTGGTTGTTGACTTTGTCAGGGATGTGAGAATGCATGCTGTGCAGATACAACAGTCAACAATTCCTCAGTAATAAATAAAACTTGCTCTCATACAGTACATTATCCACAGCAGATATGGCTGATGACCCAGGGCAAATTACTATTTAATTTAATGTTAGGTTCTTGTATTGTATTGATTTATTTTATTATAGTTGGTATATATTACTTTAGAGATACAGATGTGTTTCATATAATTACAATCCATTTCCCAGCACTGGCTGACATCACAGAAAAAAAAATCTCACACCTCTAAGGGCCCAAAAATCAACAAAAATGTTGCTTAAAGGGATAGTGCTGAGGCTGTGTTTTTTGGACGTTTTAATCTGGGGCGCCCAGCCTCCATTAGGTGGAGTTTTGTTGCTAGCCCCATCTCCGCAAGGGATGTGAGGACTCTAAAACTTCACATGAGCCTCCGTCGGCATATGGGTGAGTAGATAATGGCTGAATTTTCATTTTTGGGTGCACTATCCTTTTAAAACGAGAAAAGAGAACAGTGGGAGAATTCCATGTGTTTTATAAACACGTTTTTTTGTATGTGTTGTTTGAGCTGTCAGTCAGGCAGGCAGAGGAAAGGTATGGAAGAAGTTTAAGATCAATGCATTTCACTGTGTGGAGCTGACTGGGATCATTCATCTACGAGCAAGATGACAGAAGGCTCCAACAACACATCCTCTATGTGAAGGCTCATTCAAATTTTTATGATGATGTTCTAAAAGGTTTATGAAATTGTACTGACGGTGATAACCACGCAGTATTTTTTGGCAGCTAATACATGATTTAATGATTTACACAGATTCATTTGGATTACTACATTGCTACAGACACTACACATGCCAGCCTCAAGTACATGGGAAATTAATTTGTACTTCAAGTTGGCTCCAAGGCACCAGATGCATGTAAAAAGTCTCAGTCCTAAGATTCAAATGCAAATCTCTGTCTCTGCAGCTGTGAGCAGGGTGATGCCATCAAACCACTGTCAGACAGACAGCCATGATGCAGAGATGATGATCAGTTGAAGCAACCTATCTGTGTAATTAGCTTTCAATTTTGCTTCTATTTCCAAACATGAAATGAAACCTAGCCACATGGAAATCTTTCTGTATATTACAATACCTGGTCTTGTCGTATTTTCAAGATACAGGCTAGCATAACCATTTAAAGAGATAACCACCCCTGATAAAATGTGACACGAAGCAGGAGAGAGGGACCCAGAGTGAGGCTGCTTACCCTCTGAGCATTGACAAACAGCCTATGGATGATGCCACCAGCTGGCCCCTGGCCAGCTCCAACCACCACCACCTCTGGTTCTTCGAGCAGGGAGCTGACAAACCTGGAGAGAGACATCATGATTCCAGTGGCACTGCTGTAGTCAGTAAAAATTACATATTTACATCACATAAGATTACGCTAAGTAACAAACTTAAAGGCTTAAACATAAACCTAACCAAGTACTTTAGTTGCCTAGACCTAACCAAGACCGTTTCACAACATTAACCACATGTTACAATGTGTTTCAACTGTGCATCACATAGATACACTAAGGATGCCCTGTACATCGACATGAGACACCAAGTGGCGTCACAAAGCACAGGTGTTTGATAATCTTGTAATGACAACAGGTTGGTACAAAACATGTTATCTGTGCAGATTATAAATGAAAGGATCCCACTAAATTGTTAGGGAAATTACTTTATTCTTTGTTTTTAGGTTGCTAGAAAAAAACATTCTGAAAATGACTGATCAATTTTAATTTAGGAAATCTCTGACTACATACAGACTCAATTAGGAGTACTGCCAAACTGTCACATTTATGTACACCTTGAAATAGCTACATGTCTAAATACCTGAAGTATTGTAAAAACATGCTTCCCGCTACTGTGGAGAAGCAGTACAGCATCCAGAGTCCCGACACAGAGACTGAGTTTACTGGCAGAGTCTTTTCAGAAACACTCAGGCAAGGAATATCTTAGTATACAGTAATGCAATTAATATTTTAGTCTAATTAAATCTTAAGCATCGGTTAATGTTAGACTTTCAGAAGTTGACCAGTTACACTCCGAGACTGTAACTGGTCAACATTAGCTGTTACTTAAGCAGACTGATTATTCACCTTATAAATCATTACACACTGCTCCCTCCTGCGTTAAAGTACATAAGCCGCTCTTAATAATAAAAAGTATTGGTATCAGAATCAATATCAGTGATTCTGGCCCCATATTACTTATTGTCAGACCAACACCAAATTTTTAGTATTTTCCACCCCTACTATGTGCATAAATGACAAAAACAAAATATGTGTAACTTACTTCTCTAGCTCCTCTGTATCCTCTCCCTTACCACCCTCACAAATTGCAAACTTGGCCTTGAGCGAGCGACCTCGGGTGATGACTGTCTCTATAGCCATCAGCTGGTTAATGAAATCCTACAAATGGAAAAAGGCCACACATACATGCTCTCAGAACAGAAGCTGGAGGAGTATCAAGACATATGCTCTGACTTCAACACATTAACAAATAGAGTGTGGTACACATGTATAAGGATTATGTATAGTTTTAGTCCAGTCTGTAAGTGGATTTGAAGTTAAACAATGAGAACAAGGTTGACATGCAAATGTTTGTTTTTTTGGTCTTTTTTTTTCCTCAAAGTCTTTTTAATAGTATTTAAAGTCATACAAAATGCAATAAATCACAGAAACAATTAGAAAAGTACAATATATTTAATATAATTAGAGCTAAAATATAACTGTCAGGATCTGGTTCTCAGGTCGGACGGACAACCTGAAAACATAATGCTTCCGCCAATGACTATCATCGGCGTGGAGTTATAACAAGAAAACACTGAATACTACACACAATTTACTGATGAACCTGATGAATTGTTTCCTTTCATATACAATATGCTGGAATACAGAACCAAAACTATGAAACACCTTCAGTCTGTTTTCAGAGAATGAAAACACAAAACTGTCAGTGAGAGAAGACTATAATTGATTTCATCTTCCTGAAAAGTGTAACTCTGCCACCTAAACAGCTGTGAACTATTTGTCAAATTGTGTTGGACAATCAACTTCTCCAGTGCATAAAGTTTCATAGCAGTTAAATGGAATGACTGAACACAAAGTGAGAGAGATGTCTCATCCTTCTAAAAATGAGCAGTGTGTGGAGTTAACTTCCACTCCCTCCTGTCACTGACCTCTAACTTCTTGTAGTCATGGTTGATGGGGTGCAGCAGCTTGCTGGCTTGACTTGCAGCTTGCTGAATGTTTTTTCTGACTGATGGAATGTCTTCTACCGACTCTGTTAGCAAGGGGGTCAAAAGGGAGACAGAGGAGAGGAGAAAGACGAAAAAACAATGGCAAAGTTTTTAGAGTCATAGACAGCAGGCAGGTGGTCAAGGTAAGGAGAATATGAAAAAATCCTCCATTTGTTATATCCCACTGTAAAATACTGTTCAATACAATATGCTATACTGTATTGTATAATTTTTCATATTTTCAGCAATTAGTTGTTCTTCAGGTATGGCAGTCTTCATTACATTTGATTAAGTTTACTTCACTAGCAGATTTCTTACAGCAACAAACATGAAGTCAAGCAGGATCCAGTTTTTGAGAGGAACACCACACTACATTATTATTTTCTGCACTGTGCACATAGTAACATATATTGTGGTTGCCATGTAAAGTTAGTACAGATTTTTTCCCCAACAATACACATATTGGGTTGAAATGTGAGCAGAACAAATTTGTGTGTAAACTGTTGCAGAGGGAAATTTACATGTATTTCGGCATTCATAAATATGTTAGCAGTTCTGATCTTTTCATAGGTACTAACAAAATCTACACCTGCTTCTGAGTGCTCGTAGTGCTTTCTAAATAAGGACTGCACATATATATCGCTTGTCATTATTAGAAATTATAGTTTCAATACGCAGATATTTTTGAAACACGCAAGTAAAACATGACAAAAGATTAGAAATGTAACACAGTTAGCTAAATTAGTTGGCAATTAGCAGATTTAAGCTTCAGATTAGGTTTCTTGTACATGTGAATGAGTTATTTAAATCAACTTAATACATGTGTTTCCTACATTTCTGGCATCCCATTCCCACTTGATTCCATTAATGTACTTTAAGTTTATCTTTCTTTGTGTGTACTGTGGATAATCTTCAGAAAAGTATACTGAGCTATACTCATACTTTTGACATAATGGCAAAAGGGCTTATTGTGTAGGATTTAGTGCCATCTAGCAGTGACATTGCAGACTGCAGCCAACTGAAACTTCTCCTGTGTGCCACCCACGTAAGAGAAAGAAAATATGACTAGCCCTATCTAGAGCCAGTGTTTAGTTTGTCCATTCAGAGCTACTGTAGGACTTCTATAGGTATTTACAGCTCCATGATTATTATTGCAAAAAGGTAAAAGGTACTAATCCAAGAGAACCACTAGCTGTCATTTATGTATTCATTGACGCTTATACTTGCTTGTATATAGTTAGTTAGTTCGAATTTGGGTGTTTTGTTTTGCTTTGCTTCCTTTATGAATAAATTTATTTTTGGAGTCATACCGGCTGTCTGTTTAATATTGCACAAGATTGAATCAATAGTCAACCTCTGCTACGTCAAGAACTCCGAAATCCTTCAGGCTTTACTATTAAATTTGGTTATTGTTATTAATTTCATTATTAATCAAAATTCCAAATTGATAGTTTAATAAACTTAATGAGACTGATATCGGGAATGATGCCCCACGGGGTGATTTAATGTAAATTAAATCACATTATTTAACATAATTAATAATTATTAGTAATAATTATTAATCATTTCAGATAGCCAATTTGATACTTTAATTGGAGATCTATTATGAGGTCAGGCCCTTGTTGAGGCACAGTCCCAACAAATGGTGCCTGGTGTCCCCCCAATGAGAACTACCAGTATAATTTACAACAGGAATAAGCAAGTTATACCATGGCATCACAATACTGAATGAGGACACTACAAATTGCATGAAACAACGATGGGAAAAAGAGCTGACATTGATATAACTGAGGACATGTGGCTGAATGTCTGGGAAACACAGTCAACCTCCACTAACTCCAGGACCTGGAGCGACTTCTGCTGGAAAAACCTGATTTGCTTTTTCATCACACTCAAACAGAACACAACTGAACAAACTGGCAACCAGCTACACTGCTGGAGGGAATGTGGAGAAATCATGGTCAACCTTGCCCATACTTTTTGGTCTTGTCCTTCTATTCAGACTTTTTGGAAGGAAGTACAAGTAACAATCATTTCAAATACTTTGGGTTTTAGTATTAGTACAACGTTCACATCCCTTTATCTTGGACATATCCCTCACGGACTAAGAAAAGATGAAACCTATCTACTTAAGATCTTGGAGGCAGCAAGTAAAAAGGCCATTACAAAATAGTGGCTCCAGAAAAACTGTCCCACTGCACACTTGCATCTTCTAGAACAGGTGACCTATTCCATACAACTTCAAAAAGACCTGGGAGAAAAACAGTGGAAAAAATGGTGTTTATTTAGCCAATTACACAGATCTTACATGGTTATTGTATGTATCATGTATGATTTCCTACTTTGAATTAGGAAAATTTGCCTTGACTTTAGACAGCTCATGACCTCATAATTGTCTTTTCTTTTCCCCAACCGTGCATTGCTCTATATTTTTTCTTTGTTTTTGTGCTAATTGCCTTTATAGTGTAAAAAGTATATTAAAAAATAATTTGTTTACAAAAACTTTTGCTATCTTGAATTGTTTCAGATTTATTACTATGTGTTGGTCTTATTGATACAGTGGTTTGCTTGTACTAAGAACCCATATGTTTTACTGTTTGATGTTCTAACAAATGTTCGACAGAACTATCTTGACTCACCTTCCTCCTTTAACTTCAGAACAGCAGCATGGAGTACACAGGGCAGGAGATGGCAGGTCAGATCTGCAGGTTTCTGCAATGTCAAATAGTGCAGAACCTGAAAGACAAAACCCAGGTTCAGTTTTCAATATCATCTGCTTCCTTTTGTTTCTTGCTGATCTCTCACAGTTATATATTTGGCCTTTTTCATAAAGTGAGTTAACCAAATACACAAGGCTTGTTTCAGTTAGTCTGACACATTTTCAGTTGATCTGGAACCATAAAGGAAATTCATCGCAGTTCCAGCTAACTGGGGCAGGCAAACTGTCAAGCCTCAATTATTGCACAACCTGAGCTCTTAAAATACTGACCAGATGTGTAAGCCATGATTTTACTACTGACTTTATGGTGATGATTTTACTTAATTAACTATTATCAATCAAAAAAATTAAGTTTATAAGAATCACTTTAAATAAATAATAAATCAAATAAATTGCATAAATTGACTGTTGTTTGTGTATACGCACTGAACAACAGTGCGAAGTACCCGGCCTTCTTGGAGTGTCTTGGCAGTGTTCTGCAAGGGGTGCCAGCTGGGGACTCAACAGTTCCCCTGAGGGACTTCAACACTCACGTGGGCAATGAAGGAGAAACCTGGAGGGGGTGACTGGGAGGAACAGCCTGCCTGATCTGAACCAAAGTGGTGTTTTGTTATTGGACTTGTCATGGACTGGCCATTACAAACACCATGTTTGCACCTCCACTGTGGAGGCAGCTGTGGAGGAGTTGTGGTCAAAAGGTTGTTGGTACCTGTCATGGCGGCAAAAGAAGAACCTGACAGGATGAAGAAGGAGGCCTTTTGGGTCTGGCTGGCCCAGGGGTCTCTTGAGGCAGCAGACAGGTACCGGTTAGCCAGAAGGGCTGCAGCTGTGGCGGTTGCTGAAGCAAAAACCCGGGTGTGGGAGGAGTTCGGGGAGGCTATGGAGAAGGACTTTCAGTTGGCCTCTAGGAAGTTGTGTCAGACAGTTAGACGCCTCAGGAAGGGGAAGCAGGGCTTGTCTCAGGCTGTGCTCAGCAGAGAAGGAGAACTGGTGACCCGAACTGTCTTCGCACAGTTGAAGGAGCATTTTGAGGATCTCCTGAACCTGACCATAACATCCACCATGAACGAGGCAGAGCCTGAAGACTCGGGGGAACTCTTGCCCATATCCCTGGCAGAGATTGCTGCGGTAGTTAAAAAGCTCCCAGATGGCAAGGCGCCGGGTGTGGATGAGATTCGCCCTGAGATGCTGAAGGTTCTGGATTGGCTGACACGCCTTTTCAGTGTCGCGTGGAGGTCGGCTATGGTGCCTGCAGAGTGGCAGACTGGGATGGTGGTCCCCATTTTCAAAAAAGGGGACCGGAGGGTGTGCTCCAACTATCGGGGTATCACACTGCTCAGCCTCCCGGGTAAAGTTTACTCCAGGGTGCTGGAAAGGAGGCTCCGACCATTTGTCAAACCATGGATTCAGGAGGAGCAATGCAGATTCTGTCCTGGCTGTGGAACAGTGGACCAGCTCTTTACCCTTGCGAGGTTGCTGGAGGGGTCGTGAGAGTTTGCCCATCCAGTCTACATGTGCTTTATGGACTTGGAGAAGGTGTAGAATAACTACCGTCCTGCTAAGGCCCTTGCAGCTGGTCCAGTGAGATAGGTTAGGATAGGATAAGTGAACTTCTCTCTATTACACAGTGCATCATTGTTGTGAATGGCAGTCTCATACTGACTCCAAAAGTCCTGCCACTTGCTGACCTCTCCATTGTTTTTCTCAATGACCAACCTGGGTAGCTTTACTGTTTGTCTCTGTGATCTAGCTGAGTCATTTGTGTTAGCATCGCTCACCCTATGTGGTGCTGCCGGTGGACTCAGTTCTTTGTTCCTTATCATGCGTCGCGTGCAGCTTCTCACCATGATCACGCGCTCCCTGTATTCTTCTGTGGTCCTGATCTCAGCCTCCACATCATCCAAGCACATCTAGTAAAGTGCTCAGGTTCTCGACATCAGGAGTTGACTTGTTCATTTCCAAGTCAATCTGGTTCAAAGTCTGTGTAGTAGCACCTCTGATGGTACCTCGCTTTCGTCTCATTCTGTCCATTTCAATCCGAAGTTCTTCTTCGGCCATTCTAGAGTTAGCAGCTACAGAGTTAGCAGCTAGCAGCTACAGCTTCGTTTTCATTTTCTTCTAAAGGGCTCATGCCTTCCCGGGTTTCGGCGCCTTCAAAATGACCAGGCAGCAGATAGAAAATAAAACTTCTTTATATAAGAAAACTGTGTTCATTTACAGGCCACCAACAGGTGCTACATTCACTCGACTTTTCTTTTTGCTAACAGTCGGCTGCCAACTAGTTAAAGTTCACGTTCTCATTCCAGTCTTTTCGAGGCACAAAGCCTTCTGGGTCTTGTAGTTCTCTTAGTAGTCTAACACAATGAAATAAAACATAGTCCTAATGTATTCAATTATTTGGATTCCATTTTAACTATTAATCATGAAATCACTGGAAATAATAATCAATGTAACAATCACAATTAACATAAACAATGAATTATACATTTATCATGTCACCTAACTACAAATCAATTAATTAAACAATCAATCATGTAATTTAAGCTATTTAAGTCATAACAGAAGGCTTACGTCAGTGTCCCTCGGGGGGTGTTGTGGGGGGTCCTGCGGGAGTATGGGGTACTGGGCTCGCTGCTACGAGCCATCCGGTCCCTGTATGACCAAAGTGGGAGCTGTGTCCGCATACTTGGTGTAAAGTCAAACACGTTCTCAGTGGGTGTTGGCCTCAGCCAAGGTTGTCCTTTGTCACTGATCCTGTTGGTGATTTTAACGTACAGGATCTCGAGGCGCAGCCAGGGGGAGGAAGGGGTCCGGTTTGGGGACCTCAGAATTGCATCTCTGCTTTTTGCAGATGATGTGGTTCTGTTGGCTTCATCACACCGTGACCTCCAGCATGCACTGGGATGGTTTGCAGCTGAGTGTGAAGCGGTCGGGATGAGAGTCATCACCTCCAAATCTGAGGCCATGGTGCTCTGCCAGAAATGGGTGGTTTGCCCTCTCCAAGGTTGGGGGGAGTTACTGCCTCAAGTGAGGGAGTTCAAGTATCTCGGGGTCTTGTTCACGAGTGAGGGTAGAATGGGGCATGAGATGGATGGGCGGTTTGGCACGGCTTCTGCAGTGATGCAGGCACTGCGCCGGTCCGTCGTGGTGAAGAGGAAGCTGAGCCGGAAGGGGAAGCTTTGGATTTACTGGTCTATCTACGTCCCAACCCTCACCTATGATCATGAGCTCTGGGTAGTGACCGAAAGAATGAGATCGCGGATTCAAGTAGCCGAATTGAGTTTCCTCTGGGGGATGGCTGGGCTCAGCCTTAAAGATAGAAAGAGGAGCTCGGACATCCGGACGGAGCTTAGAGTAGAGCCGCTGCTCCTTCGCGTCAAAAGGGGTCAGTTAAGGTGGTTTGGGCATCTGATTCTGGGTGCCTCTCGCTTTAGGTGTTCCATGCACGTCCCACTGGTAAGAGGCCTCGGGGCAAACCCAGAACACGCTGGAGGGATTACATATCTCATCTGGCCTGGGTACGCCTCGGGGTCCCCCAGGAGGAGCTGGAAAGTGTTGCTGGGGAGAGAGGTGTCTGGGGCGCTTTGCTCGGCCTGCTGCCCCTGCGACCCAGCCCCGGATAAGCAGACAAAAATGGATGGATGGATGGAGGTCATTCTGTCAGGGACAAATATCTATCAGAATGACTGCTATCTGTACGGATGTAGAGTAGAACATTCTGTCAGGTACAAATGTCTATCAGAATGGACTTATACCTGTATAAAAGTGGAATGGGTCATCCTGTCAGGTACAAATATCAATCAGAATGGACTACTATCCGTGAAAATGTAGAGTAGGTCATTCTGTCAAGTACAAATATTTAACAGAATGGACTTCTGCTGAATAAATGTGGAGTAGGTCATCCTGTCACGTACAAATATCTATTACAATAGACTAATACCTGTATAAATGGGGAGTAGATCATCCTGTCAGGTAAAAGTATCTACCACAATGGACTACAATCAGTATAAATGTCGAGTAGGTCATCTTGTCAGGTAAGAATATGTATCTGAATGGACTACTATGGAGGAGAGTCTAAATCTTTCCCAACGGGTTCTTCAGACAAATATGCCAGATCTTCTGGCCAGACAAAATATGCAACCTTTAACTGTACAAGAAAACAGGTAGCGTAAGCATCACCAAGGAAAACACATAGATGTCTGTGATGGCTAGGTCATGGGCTGAGAATGTAACAGAGCCGGATCATTCAAGATAGCGCTGCGGATGGCCGCCTCGAGACTTCCCTCTCGTACTTCTCCTGGTTTTGTCTGTTTTTTTAGCTTCCTGCTCCCCCTTGCTGGTCACCTTCAGCAGAGAGGAACTTTGACACATTGGTCAGTCCTCCATTGGAAATTAGTTTCTGTTTTTTTGACCCAGCAAATTTTGCAGAGATTTTGGTCGGAGGCGCAGCGGCTCTCCTTGGGATTTGCCGGAGACGACAACGGGGATTACGTGCTCCACTCCCGTCTGTACACCTGGCAAATGTCCGCTCTCTGGCAAATAAGATGGACAGGTTGCTGCTCCTGTTGTTTCACACCATCATTTCCCCCTTTTACTTTGTGTGGTAACATCCCTAGAGGAAATATTAAAAATGCTGGGGTGTTGTTGTCATACAGTTGTCTACGGCAGCGGCTGTGATGGGAGAACTGGATCTCAGTGAAGGGCAAGTGGTCCATAACTTTAATTTTGGAGACAAAAAAAATGTAGGCTTAGCGCCCTGTGGTCCATTGCCCAATAGGAAATGTAGAATACTCAAAAGTACTTTAAAAGTGCTTGAGTTACTTTTCTCAGGGAGTAACGTTGGAAGTACATTTAAAGTAATTGAATTACTTTACTCAGGGAGTAACAGAGTAAAGTAACTGGTTACTTTTTTAAAAGTAATGCAGTAACGTACTTTGATTACTTTTAAAGTAACCCTTACCCAACACTGCTGTAGAGACCTCACACCCCAGACACAATCTGCTTAAACTCCTCCCTTCCAGTAGGCGCTACAGAGCACTGTTCGCCAAAACTACCCATTACAAAGACAGTTTCTTCCCCCAGGCTGTCGCTCTGATGAACCCCTAACAGCCACAGAATGGACAAACAACAACAAACAACACACACTTTCATCCTTGTATATGGTATATTTCTTTAATATTTGATGTATATTTGTATATTGTATATTTCTGTATATTCCACTTCTTCTAAATTTTGGTACATTGAGAGCAAGTCTATCAGAGTCAAATTCCTTGTATTTACACACGTACTTGGCAAATAAAGCTGATTCTGATGAAAGATGAAAGATGCCTTAAGATGGATACCACAAGACTTAAGAAAGTCTGGGAGGCTTAAAACCACCTGGTGCAGAACATGGGGGAGAGGCACAAAATGCTGCCAAGGACTGAACACAATGGAAAGAGCTCATTGAAGCCTTATGTCCCATAGGGGATAAAGAGGAGTAAGTAAGTTAGGTTCATTCAAGTCCGGTTTTGGTTCACTCGTTCATAATTCGTTAGGTTCATTCAAGTCAGGTTTTGAACTTTAAATCCCACTTTTCTTGGCATGCTTTATGAAACAGGACTTTCATAAATGTAGTTATGTCAGTAGTAGAGGTATTGTGCAGCTGTACTGAAAATTACCTTTTCGGCCTCCTTAGTGTCGTCAAAAAGTCTTCTCTGGCGGCGTGCAGGTGTTACTCTGGCTGCCTCCCAAGCCTCCACCCACATGTTGCCTGGGATCTTCATCCTGGCACTAAGCTCACCTTTCACCACCTTGTTACCCTTCTCATCAACCATCTCCTCTTCCACGTAATCTCTAGGTGAGTACCAGCGCACAAAGTCCTCCAGAACACAACCTGGGTTGGCTGCCTGTGTAAAGAGAGGAAACCAGTCTTACTCCCATCTGTATACAAATGTAACTGATCCAAAATTAAAAAAATCTGTCCGTATTCATGAACATTCTGAGAATACTGTCAGAGAGCTCCTAACTTAGCCTAAAAAATTCTTGCAAGGAGTCTTTGCTTAGGAGTTATTAAGGAAAATTCTTGGAGCAACTCTGAGCAAGGAAGGGACAGACATTTTGACCTCAGTGAAGAGACATGGCTGACCATGTTGTTCTGTATGACACATGATATGATTGACTGTCCTTTTGTAAGCCTGCAAGATGTGAACACACAGTGCAATTGAAATGAACTGCATCACAATATGAGACTGAAAGTGTTCTCATTGTCAGTAGCCCCTTTTAAACAGGAATTGTGCAAATTTGCAGGAAAGCCCAATCAGTCTTCTTTCAGCATTGGCAGTATAAAATCAAAATCGGGGAGTGCAGCGAAATGCCACCTACCTACTTTTGTTTATACAGAATGTGCCTCTTTCGGGGCAATGGGGGGGGGGGCGTGAGCAAGTAACAAAACGTGTAGCTCAGCGTGTGACGTAAACAGTGACGTGGGAGGGAAGCCGCGGCTAGTCAGTCCTTCGGCGATTCTCTCGTAAGTCGGCCCATTCTTCACCGTCCCCGTCATCTGACAATTAATTGCCTCGTCGTTTGCAAGGGCAAGGAGGGCATGCAATTCCTCGTCTCCCCAGTTGCTCATCTTTACAGTGTCTGTCAGGTTTGCGTTTCAATCAATCAATCAATCAATCAATTTTATTTATAAGGCCCAATATCACAAATCACAATTTGCCTCAGAGGGCTTTACAGCATATGACATCCCTCTGTTCTTTGGACCCTCGCAGCGGATAAGGAAAAACTCCCCCCAAAAAAAACCTTTTACAGAGGAAAAAAATGGTAGAAACCTAAGGAAGAGCAACTGAGGAGGGATCGGACAGATGTGCAATAGATGTCGTACACAGTTTCCCTCTTGCTACTAGTATTAGCTGCTCATTCCTGCTATCAGCTGTTTCCTGTTTATCCACCGCCAGTGGGTCGCACGTGCGGTGTGTCATCAACAGCTCCTCCCACAAGTAATCAACAGCCCCTCCTGTGGCGGAAGGGCGCCCCGTTCTTTTTAAACCAAAAAGGTTCCGCCAATATGTTTACCCTACAAGGCGGAAAATTGGGCACCTCGGATCAACTCACCAGTCCGGCTCCGTGTGTCTAAACGCTCGCAGCTTGCCGGCAAAACGGCCCACTCTATCTCTCAATCTGCTTCTACACTCAGTGCCTGTGGTGGTGGGCAAACGAGAAAGTGGAAATACAATCTGTAGCTGGGGCAACAGTCCCAGAGTCAGTGCTGAATGATGCTGAACACATGATCTGGTTGAGTTTCACTTGGAAAAGAGCTGGTAAGAAAAAAGGAAGTTTACCATGGTTTATACCCACACTCTATCAACTTTGCTATGATACAAAGCTGATTGAAAATGGGCAGGTATCCCTTTATGGGCACTTGAACATGAGGACAGGAGAAGCTGGCGATTGAACCCAATGATTAATGGACAACTTGTTTTTATGCAATGTAGTGTAAAAATAAATGGACTGTGCAGGACACACAGGTGGATAGTAAATGTACAAGTACAGATTGAATATGTGGATGTCTGCCTATTCACCTTGAAGGACTCCATGTCAGAGAGCAGACAGGCGCTCTGCATCCTGGCACGAAGGTGGGTACCTTCAGCTGATGTGCCTAGTTTGGCCAGTACTTCTGACTGCTCCTCTAACAGATCCTCTGTCATGGGAGCAGGCTCCTAAAAACCAAACACAGACACACAGCAGCATCAAAGCATTTCCATTCACTGAAAGACTTGCCTCATTTGCACAGGAGTTTCTGTTAATTTATGGTTTGAACAAAAAATTCCTACTAATTTAATAATGTGACTTGATGAAAAGTTTTCAAACCTCACATTAACACACGTAACAGATTCACTGGATTATGTATAATGAAATATAAAGTACATTATAGCTGTGTGTGGCCTTATATTTATTCTCCACAATGTTGCATATATAGCAAGGTTCAAATAATTGTTGAACCATGTTGAATCCCAAACGTTGACCCATAAACAGCATGCCAGTTAGGTTGGGTGACAACATTGTGGAATATACCCCTGGCTACTATACAGCATTGTGAGCATTTCAATTTCAAGTCTGTCCTTTGCGTTTTAAAAAAAACTTCTTACAGATCTTAGATCTTTACAATCTCCAGTTTCAAGGTAGACACCCAAGATTAGTGTCACCAATTTAGTATCTGACCAAATGTCTTCCCCTCTGTTACTGAGATATGACGTGGAATAACGGCCAGAAAAGTGTTTCATGCAGAACATTATGATGTCACAGTGAAGTTGACCTTTGACCTTTTAGATAGAAAATGTCATCACTTCATTATTGTATCCTATTAGACATTTGTGTGAGATTTTGTCATAATTAGCATATGAATTCTTAAGTTATGGCCAAAACCATATTTTGTGAGGTCCCAATAATCTTGACCTTTGACCTTCAACCACAAAATTCTAATCAGATAATTCTTCAGTCCAAGAGGACATTTTTGTCAAATTTAAAGAAATCTCCTCACAATGTTCTTGAGATATCGCGGAGAATGAGACAGACTAGGTCACAGTGACCATGACCTTTGACCACCAAAAACTAATCAGTTCATTGTTGAGTCCAAGTGGACATTGTGCCAAATTTGAAGAAATTCCCTCGAGGCATTATGGGGTTTCATGTTCACAAGGATGGGATGGACTTATGTACGGACAGACAACCCGAAAACATAATGCCTCCGGCAACAGCTGTCACCAGTGCAGAAGCATAAAAACATCATGTCAGAGTTCTCAGAAATGTATCAGGAGTGTGTAATTACAGCAGTGTTGCATGGCCTTAAAGGGAACATTTCTAACTGTGAAATACTAAACAAAAAAAGCAAGTTGAAGTCTAATCTAATCCTATGATTTATTAAGAAATGTAACATATCACAAACAGGTCATCTTACTTCTTTTAACTTCTTATCTTCTACAAAACCCAAAACCAGTGAAGTTGGCACGTTGTGTAAACCGTAAATAAAAACAGAATACAATGATTTGCAAATCCTTTTCAACCTATATTCAATTGAATACACTGCAAAGACAAGTTACTTAATGTTCGAACAGGTAAACTTTGTAATTTTTTGCAAATATTAGCTCATTTGGAATTTGATGCCTGCAACATGTTTCAAAAAAGCTGGCACAAGTGGCAAAAAAGACTGAGAAAGTTGAGGAATGCTCATCAAACACTTATTTGGAACATCCCACAGGTGAATGGGCTAATTGGGAACAGGTGGGTGCCATGATTGGGTATAAAAGCAGCTTCCCTGAAATGCTCAGTCATTCACAAACAAGGATGGGGCGAGGGTCACCACTTAGTGAACAAATGCGTGAGCTGATTGTCGAACAGTTTAAGAACAACATTCCTCAACGAGCTATTGCAAGAAATTTAGGGATTTCATCATCTACGGTCCGTAATATCATCAAAAGGTTCAGAGAATCTGGAGAAATCACTGCACGTAAGCGACAAGGCTGAAAACCAACATTGAATGCCCGTGACCTTCGATCCCTCAGGCGGTACTGCATCAAAAACCGACATCAGTGTGTAAAGGACATCACCACATGGGCTCAGGAACACTTCAGAAAACCACTGTCAGTAACTACAGTTCGTCGCTACATCTGCAAGTGCAAGTTAAAACTCTACAATGCAAAGCGAAAGCCATTCATCAACAGCACCCAGAAACGCCGCCGGCTTCGCTGGGCCCGAGCTCATCTAAGATGGACTGATGCAAAGTGGAAAAGTGTTCTGTGGTCTGACGAGTCCACATTTCAAATTGTTTTTGGAAACTGTGGACGTCGTGTCCTCCGGACCAAAGAGGAAAAGAACCATCCGGACTGTTATAGGCGCAAAGTTCAAAAGCCAGCATCTGTGATGGTATGGGGGTGTATTAGTGCCCAAGGCATGGGCAACTTACACATATGTGAAGGCACCATTAATGCTGAAAGGTACATACAGGTTTTGGAGCAACATATGTTGCCATCCAAGCAATGTCTTTTTCACGGACGCCCCTGCTTATTTCAGCAAGACAATGCCAAGCCACATTCTGCACGTGTTACAACAGCATGGCTCTATAGTAAAAGAGTGCAGGTACTAGACTGGCCTGCCTGTAGTCCAGACCTGTCTCCCATTGAAAATGTGTGGCGCATTATGAAGCGTAAAATACGACAACGGAGACCCCGGACTGTTGAACAACTTAAGCTGTACATCAAGCAAGAATGGGAAAGAGTTCCACCTGAAAAGCTTCAAAAATTGGTCTCCTCAGTTCCCAAACGTTTACAGAGTGTCGTTAAAAGGAAAGGCGATGTAACACAGTGGTAAAAAGGCCCCTGTGCCAACTTTTTTGCAATGTGTTGCTGCCTTTAAATTCTAAGTTAATGATTATTTGCAAAAAAAAAATAAAGTTTCTCAGTTTGAACATTAAACATCTTGTCTTTGCAGTGTATTCAATTGAATATAAGTTGAAAAGGATTTGCAAATCATTGTATTCTGTTTTTATCTACGATTTACATAACGTGCCAACTTCACTGGTTTTGGGTTTTGTATTTATAGCCCTAACCCAATATTAACACTTATATGGCATTACTTCAGGGCATTTTTTTCTGTCAATACATATCATATTTGGAATAAAGAACAGTAATATGGTAGTAATATTGATATAACACAGACATAATTAGTGCTACTGAGTTCTGCATATTAAATCTGTGTTCATAAATAAGTGATCCATATTTATTTAAAGCAAAGACTTGATAAAAATATGTGTGTGTGTGTGTGTGTGTCTGTGTGTGTCTGTGTGTGTCTGTGTGTGTTAATGAGTGAGTGACAGAGACAGAAAGAGACAAATCCTGACCTGTGTGACAGGAACGTAGAGAGGCTCTGTAGAGTTGAGTAGAGTCATGTTGTTACAGGGGTGTAGCCGACCCTCTGCTTTACTTTTACTGCTATCCTTATCTGCCTCAGGATGCGGAGCCTCTATCTCCCCCTGGTCACTGAGGCACTCAAAGAACTCATCTTCACTGTCGCTCCATGAGTCCCAGGATTTTCCCGGCGACATCTCCCTTGTTGCTGTTGCAGACTCTGATACAGGGCAAGAATTCTGGCAGCCACCGGACCCCCTACCTTCTCTCTCTTTGCTTTCCAGCACCTTGCGAGCTTCATCTCTGGCCCTCTTCCTCTCAATGCAGCAGTTCAACATCTATGCAGGGAACATAAAGGCCTTTTCAAAGATGGTATACTTCACATCGCTGTCTTCATCACTATGTTTAACTGATGGCTTGTTGTCATTCAGGCATTAGTGTTACTTACAATGTTATTCAGACATTTTCAAAATCAGTATATATTTTACAAAAAACAACTAGGTTTATCAGTTTGAACATCAAATATCCTGTCTACTATTTATAGCTGAAAACACACTATGCATTCTGTATAAATGGCTACCTGGAGCTTCTGATGCAGAAGACAACAGCGAAGATCCGGAGGTCCACTAACCAGTCTGCAGTTTAGGAAGCATGAAGAAAAGAAGGCGGGGATGAGTGAACATGACCGTTTGGACAGACTGAGCAACTACATTTGCATCAATAATGACTCTGCATATGGTGTGCATCTTAGATTTCTGTATTTTATTAATGTGTTAGAATACTCAAAATAAGTGGTGATGAAATGTTGGAATGAAATCTACATGACAGTCAAGAGGATCAAGATGAGCTAACATTACAAAAATTACCACTTTTCTTATGGTAAAAGAAGACAAGGTATAAGGTGTTTGTGGCTGTTATTTTAGCAAATCTCATCTCAAAATGTTAAAACGTATGTGTGGTGCTGTGCCTGTAGTCCTTTCAAACAAGGCTTAACCCCAGGCCGCACTGTTTACCTCTACTTGTGTGTGATGGCTGCCTCGCTGAACTGCTGCGGCTTGTGAGCATATGACCACACAGTCAGCATTGCTGCTGTGGAGCTGCTGCCTGCCAGCCCTGTCTTTCTACACCGAGTTTGCCTCGTATAAAAGCCACAATTAATGTGACACATTTTAATTCAAAATGACAACAGGAAGTGTTGAGTTAAAACTACATATATTTCTTAATGTCTGTGACATATTCTACAGATACAGGTGTAATGGTCCTGGTATGATGTCAAAGACTATCAACAGTTGAATCTCACTCTTTATTTTTGGTGCAAATCATGTGTCATGTGGAAAAAATGGGTGACACTCTGAGTCTCTAGATGAGGTGCAGCCAGGCCGCGCTATTCACTCGAGTTTTTTTTATTTTCCCCCCCCCCCAAGGATGGCTTAAAGGAATAGTGCACCCAAAAATGAAAATTCACCCATTATCTACTCACCCATATGCCGATGGAGGCTCAGGTGAAGTCTTAGAGTGCTCACAACACACTTGCGGAGATCCAAGGGGAGAGGATGGAGGCTTAGGGCGACCCAGATTCAAACATCCAAAAACACATATTTGAAACCACAAAATATCTCCATACTGCTCTTCCATAGTGATCCAAGTGTCCTGAAGCCCCAACATAAAAAGTTGTTTGGAAAAACGTCATTTGAACTCTGTTTTTAGCCTCATTGTAGCCTGTAGCTCTTACTGCCTCTCTGGGCACCACATTCAAGTGTGCGCGCTTGCGTGCGAGACAGGACACTTAGATCACTATGGATGAGCAGTATGGAGATATTTTGTGGTTTCAACTATGTGTTTTTGGATGTTTGAATCTGGGGCGCCCTAAGCCTCCATTAGATGGAGTTTTGTTGCTACCTCCTCTCCCCTTGGATCTCTGCAAGCATTGTGAGGACTCTTAAACTTCACCTGAGCCTCCATCGGCATATGGGTGAGTAGATAATGGGTGCATTTTGGGTGCACTATCCCTTTAAGCGTGACCCACCCTACTCTGCCTCTGATTGGCTTACCCTGACCCAAACCAATCTCAATCCTCATGCCTAAACCCAACCAATCCAACCAACGAAGGCACTGAGTACAAGCCAGTCAGAGGGAGAGTAGGGCAGGCCATGCCTTCACCATCCTAGGAAAAACTGGCCATGTGACAGTGTGGCTGTTAACATGGGCACAGAAATAAAAAGCAAGAGGTTTCACAACACACACATGCTCTCATGCAGGCAGTGTGGTCTGGACATAAGAGCAGCCTGAGTGTGTTGTGAGTGTGTTGTACCCACCCATAGATGAGGTAGTTGTTTTCCCAGCGATAGCGCAACTCTAGGACGAACTCCTGCCAGAGGTGAGCAACAGCACGCAGCCCGCCATGGTTGTAGTTGACTAGACATGCACACAGTGCCAGCCGGTATGTCAGACTGTCGGTGGGTGCCGACTTCAACTGGAGGAAAAGGTTCTGAACAAGGGGAATGGAGAGCAGGGGGGACAATAAATGAAAATATATTAGCCTATGCAATGTGAGAGTCACATCTGGAATCAAATGTGAAGAAATACTTTCAAAAAGGTAACTTTTAGCTCACATTGACTGACCACAAGGAATGTAGCTATCAGAAGTGAATGCTCAGTGGCATCCTGACACCACATTACTGTGGGGGTATTATCTCCTGGGACCTCCTAATCAGCTTTCCCTTTTGTGATACACCAAAATCATGACTAAAATAGTGAACTAAATGTAATGCTTATTATATTGATAAATCCCCAAAGGTCTGCACATTCATTCAAAATCCACAACTGCTTATCCTGGTAATGGGTCGTGGGGGGACTGGAGCCTATCCCAGCTAACACTGGGCGAGGGGTGGGTACACCCTGGACAGGTCACCAGACTATCACAGTCCAGACAACCATTCACACTCACAGCCACTTTAAAGTCCCCAGTTAATCTTTGGATTGTGGGAGGAAGCAAGAGAACCTGGAGAAAACATACACTGATATGGGGAAAACATGCAAACCCCACACAAAAGGACTCTGGCCAGCCAGCCAATTCAAACTCGGTACCCTCTTGCTGTGAGGTGACAGTGCTAACCACTGCACCACTATGCCACCCAAAGTTTGCACAATATCTTGTTACTGCCATTTAAGTGTCATTGTTTTGTGAAATTATTGAGCGTTGTAATGGCTCTGTAATGAGTGTAGTTCTTTTCATGGTTGTGCAGTGCTTTAAAGGGATAGTGCACCCAAAAATGAAAATTCAGCCATTATCTACTCACCCATATGCCGAGGGAGGCTCTGGTGAAGTCTTAGAATCCTCACACTTACGGAGATCCAAGGGAGAAGTGGGTAGAAGCACAACTGCACACCTAATGGCTGACAGCAACCCAGATTAAAACGTCCAAGAACACATAATTGATATCAGAAAATATCTCCATACTGCTTGTCTGTAGTGATCCAAGTGTCCTGAAGCGCCGACATAAAAAGCTGTTTGGAAAAACATCATTGGAACTCTGTTTTTAGCCTCATTGTAGCCTGTAGCTCTAACTGCCTCTCTGTGGACCGTGCTCACGTGTGCGCGCTTGCGCGTGAGACCAGCGAAAGCATGTGAACACACATGAACGCGGTGCCCATGTCTCATGGTCTCGCGCAAGCGCACACACTTCAGCGCAGTGTACACAGAGGTAGTAAGAGCTACAGGCTACAATGAGGCTAAAAACAGAGTTCAAATGACGTTTTTCCAAACAACTTTTTATGTTGGGGCTTCAGGACACTTGGATCACTACGGAAGAGCAGTATGGAGATATTTTATGGTTTCAATTATGTGTTCTTGGACATTTTAATCTGGGTCACAGTCAGCCATTAGGTGTGCAGTTGTGATGCTACCCACTTCAACCTCGAATATCCGAAAGTGTTGTGAGGACTCTAAAACTTCACCAGAGCCTCCCTCGGCATATGGGTGAGTAGATAATGGCTGAATTTTCATTTTTGGGTGCACTATCCCTTTAAGGTGGATGTTACAATTCTTTATTCAAAACATGCACCTATGAACCTAAAAAACCTGACTTGATTTAAACCTCAGATGTCACCTGTCTGCCCCCCCCCAGTTAATTTTTCACAGTGTGGGAGTGGTTTAGTGGCATACATACATCGTCAGAGTTTTTGTCTTGCTTGGATTTCCCACTGGCTTTTGACTGTGCACTTTTATTCTTGCTGTTCTCCGATGACTTCTCCACAGCAGCATCTGGGAAGAGATACTGAGACATGCAAGAAAAAACCCCACAAACATTTCAATATAAAATTGCAATTCAATTGTACATTTACATAAAACCAGTCCATCAGTATCCAAATCTATTGATTGTCATAAAATTGAATATTGATCAAAACCAGTCTAATTCAGTCTTTCTGATAAATAGGCATTTAGCATTAATGATATCTTTATTTTACCACAAGCGAAATTAATTTCAATGCAATCACGTTTGTATCTTACAGGAAAAATATACAGATACATGCAATACATAGCATGTAGCATGTACTCAGCTGGGTTTCTTTTTTGGCTGCTATGCCAGACACATCTCCTGCTAAAGCAGTTCCTCCACCTTTTATAAGTCCTGTATCTGAAGCCAGCTAGAGGTCAACTTCAATCAATCAATCAATTTTATTTATAAAGTCCAATACCACAAATAACAATTTGCCTCAGAGGGATTTACAGCACACGACATCCCTCTGTCCTTTGGACCCTTACAGCGGATAAGGAAAAGCTCCCCAAAAATACATTTAACGGGGGAAAAAAATGGTAGAAACCTCAGGAAGAGCAACTGAGGAGGGATCCCTCTTCCAGGACGGACAGACGTGCAATAGATGTCGTACAGAACAGATAAACATGATAAATTAACAGTAATCCGTATGGCAAAATGATACATAAAGAGAGAGAGAGAGAGAGAGAGAGAGAGAGATGCAGGACAGACAGTCATGATAACAGCTTACAACAACATTAATTTAAGTAATAATATTACAATAATAATTATGGCTATTGTAGTACAATATGTTGTAGGTATATTTAAGCAATATCACACGAGAGGGAGTGATGTTGTACTGTATATCATCACGGCTATGATTCGGTCATAGGCACGAGGCCGCAGTAAACAATTACAGCCGTAATTGTTTACTGCCCCCAGCAAAGGAGTTCAAGTATCTCGAGGAACTGTTCAGGAGTGAGAATAAACTGTAGAGCAAGATGGGTTTGTGATGCAGGTGCTACATCGGACTGTCGTGGTGAAGAGGGCGCTGAGCTAGAAGGCAAAGCTTTCAATTTACCGGTCCACATATCTTTCAATTTCTGTCATGAGCTTTGGGTAGTGACTGAAAGAATAAGACTGCAGATACAAGCGCCCGAAATGACTTTCCTCTGTAGGGTGGCTGGGCTCAGCCTTAGAGACAGGATGAGGAGCTCAGACACCTGGAGGGAGCTTGGTGTAGAGCCACTGATCCTTCATGTTAAAAGGGGCCAGTTGAGGTGGTTCAGCATCTGATCAGGATGCCTCTTGGGCACCTCCCATTAAGAGTTTTTCAGGGCACATCCAACTGGTACAAGGCCCCAGGGCAGACCCAGAACATGCTGGAGGAATTATATATCTCATCTGGCCTGGGAATGCCTTAGCATCCCCCAGGAAGAGCCAGAAAGTGTTGCTGAGGAGAGGGATGCCTGGAGTCATTCGCTTAGGCTGCTATTTCTACAAGTAAACAAACCAATTAGTTCATTAAATTCACTCTGCAGAGACAGATTAGCAGAGCACCAAGCAGTCAGTGCCCAGAGTATGCTCTGCTGCTCCCAGAGTGTGAAGTTCTAAAAAATCAAATGGAACACACCAACAGCATTCTGAATTTACAAACGGTCCAGTTTGTGCCAGAGTGCGCTCTGGCCTTTGGAGAGAGTACTTCCAAACACACCCCATGGTCTCAAACACACTCGCCTATGTTTGTTTATATACTTTCTTCCATTTAAAACTCAGTTGGAATTTCAGCTAATGTTGTGACTTGTTTTTCAAGCACATCTAATCTTTATTTCTGCTAACAAGGAATGTTTTGAAGCTGTAGTTAGGGGTGGGCAAAATATATATCGTTAACGATAATATCGTCATTGTTGTTTTAACGATGTGCAAATTTACGTCATCGAGTATGCAAATGACTTCACAAAAACAACTGAAAACACACGTTGAAACCAGGTTGAAATCCCACACATTCACTAAACAAGAGTTACGTAACTTGCGTGCAGCAGCACGCTGCAGTACGCCTAGGTGGTCACATGATCTCTCACTGGCACCTTCCCGGCAGGTTAGCCTGCTGCTAAACAAGCATTAGCGAGACAACATGGCAACACTGCCCACGGATGCTCCAGCAGCTTCGGAAGACGTGGGTCAACTGTAGTGATAGGTCCCAGCCTGTCAGGTGGGAACTAAGGTGATGCTGTATTGTGTTGCAGGGGAACAATTAAAGGGTTGCTCAAGTACCTGAAGCCTGTGTGGCTCATGAATGGTTTGCGGTTATACCAATAAATAACTGAACATGGTGTCAGAAGTAAAGTCAGACGCGAGCGACAGTACTAGTGACTTAGTCTGCATATAGCGACAAGCAAAAGTGTCTAGTTTTAGGTCGGAAAAGTTCGCAGTACCGGAAGACCATCTACAGAGCTACCTAGCCTAGCCACAGTTAGCTGAACGAAGCGGCAACATGGCACAGTTTCAAGTCTCCCCGCCGGAAAAGTTCACCTTCAAGGCTGAAGACTGGCCTAAATAGATTAAACACTTCAACAGATTCCGCATTGCTTCTGGATTGGAGACGTAAGCAGAAGAGAATCGCAGGAATGTGATCTTTGAGAGAGCAAAGTTTTAATCAGCGGCATCAAGAAACGGACGAGACGGCCGACAGTTTCATTATGGTGCTGCACTGCCTGGCGGAGCACTGCGGTTACGCAGCTCTACATGATGAGATGGTGAGGGACAGGCTTGTGGTGAGTCTGCGGGACAAACGCCTATCTGAACAGTTGCAAATGGACCCGGAATTGATGCTACAAAAGGCCGTCACCAGAGTCAAACAGAGCGAGCAGGTAAAACAGCAGCAAGAAATGTTAATAACATTTTTCCTTTAAAACATTGTGTCCATTAATATGATCCATGAGAAACAATTAATGAGCTATAACTCAGGCTGTTAAAAACACATATTTAAAAGAATATCATCATTGAATATCATCCAATATCATCCATCAATTATCATTATCGTCAAAATCCCCCAAAATATCGAGATATTATTTTTTGTCCATATCTTACACCCCTAGCTGTAGTTTCTGCTATCATGTATACATCTATATTTATATACAGTACAGGCCAAAAGTTTGGACACACCTTCTCATTCAATGCGTTTTCTTTATTTTCATGACTATTTACATTGTAGATTCTCACTGAAGGCATCAAAACTATGAATGAACACATGTGGAGTTATGTACTTAACAAAAAAAGGTGAAATAACTGAAAACATGTTTTATATTCTAGTTTCTTCAAAATAGCCACCCTTTGCTCTGATTACTGCTTTGCACACTCTTGGCATTCTCTCCATGAGCTTCAAGAGGTAGTCACCTGAAATGGTTTCCACTTCACAGGTGTGCCTTATCAGGGTTAATTAGTGGAATTTCTTGCTTTATCAATGGGGTTGGGACCATCAGTTGTGTTGTGCAGAAGTCAGGTTAATACACAGCCGACAGCCCTATTGGACAACTGTTAAAATTCATATTATGGCAAGAACCAATCAGCTAACTAAAGAAAAACGAGTGGCCATCATTACTTTAAGAAATGAAGGTCAGTCAGTCCGGAAAATTGCAAAAACTTTAAATGTGTCCCCAAGTGGAGTCGCAAAAACCATCAAGCGCTACAACGAAACTGGCACACATGAGGACCGACCCAGGAAAGGAAGACCAAGAGTCACCTCTGCTTCTGAGGATAAGTTCATCCGAGTCACCAGCCTCAGAAATCGCAAGTTAACAGCAGCTCAGATCAGAGACCAGATGAATGCCACACAGAGTTCTAGCAGCAGACCCATCTCTAGAACAACTGTTAAGAGGAGACTGCGCCAATCAGGCCTTCATGGTCAAATAGCTGCTAGGAAACCACTGCTAAGGAGAGGCAACAAGCAGAAGAGATTTGTTTGGGCCAAGAAACACAAGGAATGGACATTAGACCAGTGGAAATCTGTGCTTTGGTCTGATGAGTCCAAATTTGAGATCTTTGGTTCCAACCGCCGTGTCTTTGTGAGACGCAGAAAAGGTGAACGGATGGATTCCACATGCCTGGTTCCCACTGTGAAGCATGGAGGAGGAGGTGTGATGGTGTGGGGGTGTTTTGCTGGTGACACTGTTGGGGATTTATTCAAAATTGAAGGCACACTGAACCAGCATGGCTACCACAGCATCCTGCAGCGACATGCCATCCCATCCGGTTTGCGTTTAGTTGGACGATCATTTATTTTTCAACAGGACAATGACCCCAAACACACCTCCAGGCTGTGTAAGGGCTATTTGACCAAGAAGGAGAGTGATGGAGTGCTGCGGCAGATGACCTGGCCTCCACAGTCACCGGACCTGAACCCAATCGAGATGGTTTGGGGTGAGCTGGACCGCAGAGTGAAGGCAAAGGGGCCAACAAGTGCTAAACACCTCTGGGAACTCCTTCAAGACTGTTGGAAAACCATTTCAGGTGACTACCTCTTGAAGCTCATGGAGAGAATGCCAAGAGTGTGCAAAGCAGTAATCAGAGCAAAGGGTGGCTATTTTGAAGAAACTAGAATATAAAACATGTTTTCAGTTATTTCACCTTTTTTTGTTAAGTACATAACTCCACATGTGTTCATTCATAGTTTTGATGCCTTCAGTGAGAATCTACAATGTAAATAGTCATGAAAATAAAGAAAACGCATTGAATGAGAAGGTGTGTCCAAACTTTTGGCCTGCACTGTACGTATATGTATATATCTGTTTTCCCAGACAATATTCATATAAATAATTCAGGATGAATAAGGCTTACGAGAAGGATGGAATTGAGAATATCAGTGTTGAGTGGGCACTCATCAATGCGCTGGTGGCGTCGGATGTGCTTTCGAGCACTGTGCACCATACTGGAGACAGACAGTTTGGAGATTGGCACTGCTGTTGCTGGCTCCGTCAGCTTCGATAAAGCAGAGCTGATGTCACTATTTTCTGCAGAAAAAAAAAATTATTACTAATCACACTAAGCAACTAATATTTAGTGTATAAATGATGTATTTGTATATTGTATCTCCGAGGCAACAGAGTTGAGGAGATGAGTAATAGGACACTCTATGCAAACATTTTACAAACCCCAGTAAAACAGACCTAGGCTCCATTCTTTAGACTATAGTTATAATAGTGACATCACAGTGAGAAACAACTCCACCCATTTCTGTGTTAAACAGTGCAGTCAGTAACTTGACCTTTGCCCTCCTCTGCAGCCAATCCTCTTCCCAGAATCTCTTCTGTAGTCTCCTTCCTACAACACAGCTTATAGAACTCTGTCAGAATGTCCCCTGTATGGAAAGAAAACATGGGTCAAATCCTTCCAACATTTTTTACACTGATTCTGCTGCTGCAAAACATCAGTGAATTAATTTTACCACATGTGCACACAAAAACATGCAATGAGGTTTTAGGGTAATAAGATAAGAGATAAGATACACCTTTATTGATTTCACAATTGAGAAATTCCAGTGTTACAGCAGTCAAGGGGAAAGAGTCAGATTAAAGATTTCAAAATTTAAATTTAAAAACTTAAAAACTGGGCATGCAAAATAAAGTACAAAAATACAGCAAACGATGATATATAACAATAACAATAACAATAATAATAATAATAATGAAGCTGCAAGCAGCTGTGATCGGGCCCTCGCTCTCCTGCGCCACCGGGGGCGGGGGGGGGGGGGGGGGGCAGCGGCACGCATAACTGAAGCGGTTATGTGAAAACTCAAAGTAAGTTAACCGTGAGATGAGGGGAACTCTGGGTTGTCCGTTCCAGACTGAGAGCTAACTTAAACTCTGGGTCAGTTACCATGGTGTTGGTACAATCTAAAAATATGGCATTTCCTGTTTCCACAAGGCGGCGCTATGAGTTAGAGTATGAGAATAGGAGGCGTGCAGGGCGGGGCTCTTGTCATATACAGAAATTTTGAAGCAGTTTGGATGAAGTATGTGGGAGAGAGAATTGCTCGAATATGCATGCCGATGAATCAAATATGGCAACGCCATAGCGGCCACGCCCCTTGACATACAGAAAAGCTTTTAATAACTTTTGATCAGCATGGTCTCAGAATGATTTGTACCAAATCTGAAGTTGATTGGACAAAATCTGTAGGAGTAGTTCATTAAGATACAAGGTATGGAAATCACAAAATTGCCGCCAAAATGAAACGTTTAAATCAAAATGGGTGACTTCCTGTTTGGAGTAGACCACTGGTGGCAGAGACTTTTTTGTGCGTCTGGGCAACTTACACATATGTACCAATTTTCATCTTCCTACTCAAAAAAAAAAAAAACCCTATGGGGAGGGGTTTTTGAAAATTTCAAGGGGGCGCTATAGAGGCATTTTGTCCCCCCCATGGGCAACAACCCTATTAGATGCAAGAGGTCGCCATACTTGACCTGTGTATCAATTTTAATGAGAATATGAGGTCGTTGAAGCCATCAAAAAGCCAAATGTATTTGGGGGCGAGGGCGGCGCCACAGCGGCCACGCCCCTTGACATAGAGAAAAGCTTTTAATAACTTTTGATCAGCATGGTCTCTGGATGATCTGTAAAAAATTTGAAGTCGATTGGATGGAATCCCTAGGACTAGTTCGTTAAAATACAACATGTGGAAATCACGCCAAAATGACAAGTCAACATCAAAATGGCCGACTTCCTGTTTGGAGTAGACTATTGGTGCCAGAGATTTTTATGTGCATCTGGACAACATACACATGTGTACCAATTTTCATGTTCCAACTCCAAAAAAACTCTAAGGGGAGGGGTTTTTGAAAAATTCAAGGGGGCGCTATAGAGGCATTTTGTCCCCCCCATGGGCAACGCCCCTATCAGATGCAAGAGCTCGCCATTCTTGACCTGTGTATCAATTTTCATGAGGAGATGAGATCACTGAAGCCAACAAAAAGCCAAACGTATTTGGTGGCGAGGGAGGCGGTATAGCGGCCATGCCCCTTGACATAGAGAAAAGCTTTTAATAACTTTTGATCAGCATGGTCTCTGGATGATCTCTAAAAAATTTGAAGTCGATTGGATGAAATCCCTAGGACTAGTTTGTTAAAATACAATGTGGAAATCACGCCAAAATGACAAGTCAAAATCAAAATGGCCGACTTCCTGTTTGGAGTAGACCATTGGTGCCAGAGACTTTTATGTGCGTCTGGACAACATACACATGTGTACCAATTTTCATGTTCCAACTAAAAAAAAAACCCTATGGGGAGGGGTTTTTGAAAATTTCAAGGGGGCACTACAGAGGCATTTTGTCCCCCCCATGGGCGACACCCCTATCAGATGCAAGAGCTCGCTATTCTTGACCTGTGTATCAATTTTCATGAGGAGATGAGGTCGCTGAAGCCATCAAAATGCCAAACCTATTTAGTGGCGAGGGATCGATAGTTGCCACGCCGCCACATGGACACCATTAGACGTAGTTTCACAGTCTTCATAAGGTAGCTTCACCAACTTGTTCTGCATGCATCAGAAGTGGAATGAAGTTGATGTGGTCAAGTTTGTGGCATTAGTACATGTTAAAGTAAAAACTGGTCACTTCCTGTTACCACCAGGGGGCGATATGAGTAAGGTGGGATATTAACATATTGGGGTGTTCGGGGCGGAACCATCATCATGTCCAGCAAGTTTGAAGCTGCTGGGCGGGAGAGCCGTTTGAAATTCGATGGCAAGAAAACGAAAAGTCGCCAAAATTTGTCACGTCCTAGCAGCCACATCCCTTGACATAGAGAAAAGCTTTTAATAACTTTTGATCAGCGTGTTGTCAGGATGATCTGTACCAACTTTGAAGTTGATCAGACGAAATCCCTAGGAGGAGTTCGTTGAAATTTAAGTTGTGTAAATCACTGTAACCGCAAAATTCAAAACAAAATGGCCGACTTCCTGTTGGGATTTTACCATGACATTAATAGACTTTTTTGTGCATCTGGGTATGATATATGTGTGTACCAAATTTCGTTTGCCTACAACAAACTAACCCCAATGGGGAGGGGTTTTTGAAAATTTGTAGGGGGTGCTATTTCGGCATTTCGTGTCGACCATGTGCAACTGCCCAAAAATATCGAATTTCGGATGCGGCCGGACAAATGTGGAAAATTAGAAGCATTTTGAAATTTGGGAAAGGGGTGAAATTGGGGCACAAAATGTCGCAAGAACAATAATAATAATAATAATAATAAAAGCTGCAAGCAGCTGTGATCGGGCCCTCACTCCCCCATGTAGCACACATTGAAGCCATCAAAATGCCAAAAGTATTTAGTGGCCAGGGATCGATAGTCACCACGCCGCCACATGGACACTAATTAAAGCTGCAAGCAGCGATGAACGGGCCCTCGCAGTCCACGCGCGTCAGGCCATGCTGCCGTCGGGGGGCGTGCACCTAGATGTCTTGTCAGCTGTAATAAATAAAAAAATAAACGTTATCTCTTACTTACATTTCCAGTATATAGGTAGGCACCCAACCCACGTATGTATTTTTCCAAAAGTAGAAGCTGAATACATGCCCAATAGTTAAAGGTCTTCTGACTCTGTAAAAGTTGACATGGTGTCTCTAGCTCAAAGTATGAGGGACAAGAAGAGGTTGAAAGTCAATGAGTTTTGAAGAGGAGTTGAAGATTTTCCAAATTACTTCCGTTCACACTGATTAAACTGCCACCAGAGCGCCACCTATTGGCCGATTTGCACCGAATTTTGCACAAACCCTCATCGGGCCATGGAACAAAATTAGCGCAAGTGTTGTGGTAATCCGAATGTATTTGGTCAAGATATGAAAGACTGTCTGTTTTGAAAACAATGTGCAGGAATTTGTTGTTTTATATTTTGAGCGTTTTTTGGATTATCAAAATTCTTTTAATAACTCTTTGTCACAAGGGTCCACAGATGCTTCATGCAAAGTTTGGTGCAAATCAGTCAAATCGCCTAGGAGGAGTTCGAAATAGTAGGTTTTTCATTGTTCGCGATGTTGCAAATGGAAATTTAATGCAAAAGTGGGCGTGCCTTACATCACACAATTCAGCTGAATTCAGGGAACACTGAGATATAAAGTTTCAAAACGTTCGACATGGGAGTTGTGGGCCAAAAACTTTTGCATTGAAAATAGTGCCACCTGCTGGTAATTTTTGGTGTGCGAGTTACAGGGGCCAGTCTACACCACCCCTATCAATTTCATTTCCACAAGTGTTATGGTGTTGGCACAGTGCCAAATATTAAATTAGACTGCCACCACAGCGCCACCTAGTGGCAGATCGGTAACTCCTTTGTCAGATATCCTCAGGAGGGCATTGACAATAATTGCTCTAAGTTTCGTGTTAATCCGAGCAACTGATGTTGAGATATAAAATACTTCAATTTAAAGAGCGCCACCTGGTAGTAATCGCCTGACATTTTGCAGAGCCTCAGGGGCTCATGGGGAAGTAGTAAACTGAGTTTCATGTCATTCAAACACACCAATGTGGAAATATGCAACACTTCCTGTTTTGTACCAAATCTGCAGGAAGCTGCTATGTAATAACTTCAATATTCTTTGGAATATCAAAATTATTTTAATAACTTTTTGTCAGGAGAGTCCACAGATGCTGTGTGCAAAGTTTCGTGCAAATTGGTGAAATTGCCTAGGAGGAGTTCGAAAAAGTAGGTTTTTCATTTGTAGCGATTTAGCGAATGGAAAGTTATCACAAAAGTGGGCTTGGCTTACACCACACAATTCAGCTGAATTCAGAGAACACGTAAATAGATGGTTTAACAATGTGCGACATATTATGTGGGAGTTATTAGCCAAAAACGCTTTTGCATTGAAAATAGCGCCACCTGCTGATCATTTTTGGTGTGCGAGTTACAGGGGCCAGTCTATACCACCCCTATCAATTTTATTTCCATGAGTGTATGTTAAATATTAAATTAGACTGCCACCACAGCACCACCTAGTGGCGGATCAGTAAGTCCTTTGTCAGATATCCTCAGGAGGGCATTGACAATAATTATACCATGTTTCGTGTTAATCCGCCCAACTGATGTTGAGATATAAAATACTTCAATTTAAAGAGCGCCACCTTGTGGTCATCACCCAAAATTTTGCACTGAGCCTCAGGGCCTCATCAGGAAGTAGTAAACTGAGTTTCATGTCATTCGGACACACCAATGTGGAGATATGCAACACTTCCTGTTTTGTACTAAATCTGCAGAAAGTTGCTATGTAATAACTTAAGTATTCTTTGGAATATCGAAATTCTTTTAATGACTTTTTGTCAGGAGACTCCACAGATGGTGTGTGCAAAGTTTCGT